AACAATGTATCGATGCAAATGCCATACATGGCTGATACTCTTTCTTTCTTCAACTATTTTTGAAGGCAGTTCACCTGGCGCCTCCCGAGTGCCTGTCACGTTGAAGTCAGACAAATAACCGAACATGAGCCGATGCCACGCCCACTGAATACAACACAACACAAGAGCCATGGATCGATGACGAAACTGGGAGATTACGTCATGTTCACTTGATTTATGTTCAATTGAAGGCGCTGCGCGTGCTCTACTGCGAACGGTCGAACACTTGAACAGCAAGCACTTGGGTTAATTAAATTCGGGAAAATTGAGCAGCAAAAACAACGCCCTGTCCCTGTCCCTGTCTCTGTCCCAATCCCCGCCAGGGTCCATATCTTGCCTGATGGCCAGTTAGCCGTGGCATTTAATTGCAGCAATGCTGGATTGCGCATACGCAGCGTGTGCCGCCGAGTGTTAATTGCCAGGCACCAAAAGTTTGCTTATCAATTGCTGCCGTAAACACATCAACAAAAAATCGCAACGATCGCAACGAGCGGTTCTTCTATTTTTCCTATACTCATATATATTTTGTGTGTCCGACTGTTTGGCTGTTTGAAATTCAAATTAGACATCAGCACTTGTAAATTTGCATAGCTCTAAAGCATTTTAAATGGTTGTGGCCGTCGAGAATGGCGTTTCGAAATTGCATATGAAATTTCGGTTTGCTTAATTAGTCACCGTCACCGCTTAACATGAGGACGGAGGACTCGCAAAGAGGGGATCGCGGAACCGCCAGTTGATATATCATTTTGCAGCCGAGCAGGCTGGGTTAATGATTGGCGATATCATCGTGATTCGGTCTCATATATCCGATTGCCCAGACTGCATGTCGTTAATGGCTCTCCGGGCACGCAACTTCGAGTCCGAATCCGAATCCGAGCTGGCCATAAAAGACAAGTGTCAATTGAAAGCCAAAACCATGGCTTGTTCGCTGTTCGACCTGGGCTCAGAGATAAACAAACTGGCAAATGGAAAACATTCAGCTGCAGTTATCGTATAAATTTCCTAAAGGCCCCCCACACACAAAGCGCTTAAATCAAGTTAAATGATTTGTCGCCGGAGGCAGCAGGAATTCAATTAGCCATTATTAACCATTCGGCCTCATAAACAACGACCGGCAACGAGCGGGCCAGCGAGCGAGCCGTGGTAACAATCGTGAAGCTCCGGCGATACAAATTAGACATGGTCAGTCTGGCTCAGCTCAGCGAATCACTTCATTGGCCATGGCCATAATTGTCAATTGACTTTCCATTAGCCCGGTCGGTCGATCGCCTGCCTGGATTCGAGGTCCGAGAGATCCCAAAATTCGAGAAAGAAAATCATAAGCGCAGAAGGAGGCCAGGCCAGGCCAGGCGCAACATTTTGGTTTCATTGAAATGCATCGGAGATGACGAGTAACGGCTCTGGGATGGGATTTCTCAGCCGAGGAGTTGCATGCTCAAAGTGAAAGACATTCCACTTCCAGGTCGGGCAGCGGAGAAATGCATTACCCAGAAGATCGAAGCTTTCTCGAGGGGATCCGAGGCTCCGTCTCCATCTCCGTCTGGGCTTTGATTTTTGGCTCCAGCTTTCCAGCTTTGTTAACTGTTTTCGGCCTGTAGTTATGTATACCCTACGAGCCTGTCTTCGATTCGTATTTGTATTTGCTGGGGATTTTGGATATTCGGTTTTTGGTTTTTGGGTTTTCGGTTTTGGGTCGTCGCAGTTACTAACTCAGCTCAGCGAGGGAGAGATCGTGACCGCGTGTTTTAAATGCATAATGACCGTAAAGTAGTTGGTTGGCCAGCCAAACATTCGTATCGGGGGAAAAGGAGCACCGGTGGGGGCCAGGAGGGATGTTTAACAAAATTATGAATTGCTGCATTATATTTTATTAGATTTGTGTTCTTTATGGCTCCAAATTCTGGCCGCTCAGTTCGTGCCGCGACCGCCACAAACAGTTATAGCTTTATTTAGTTTTAATAAGGATCGGGTCGCAAGGGGTCAACTGTGGAGACAGGCGACGGCCCAGGCAGTTCCGCTCCATCGACTAAATCTTGGGTAAACACAGAGTGGGAGAGAGAGACCAAACCTAATATCGAACGCGCCCTTAATGATTCCAATCAACCAAGGCCCAGCAGAGTTACTGTTAATTGCCAGACTCTCAGAGCCAGCCCCAGTCCCAGTTTCAGTCCCAAATCCCAGGCCCAAAAGGCACGTCCCAAGGCAATGCAATTTTCAGGGTAAAAGTAGCTCAGGCTTCGGGGCAATGAGCCAGCTATGAGCCAGCGAAAAACACACACACAAAATGTTGGTCAAAAAGTGTGGCCAAGACATGAAAGCTACAACTCTTAACAACTGCAGCAAACGACAGCAATCAGCGGGGCGAAGATGCACCCAGCCAGGTTAAGCCAGGTTTTGGGCCAGGGCTAGGCGAGGCAGCCGGAGGAGCAGACATGTCGTCAATGCGCCGCTGAAGATCTAGTAAGTCTATACCCGGTACTTTACTACCGCGATCGTGTCTCGTCTCCCACAATCTTGGGGCTGAGACCACGGCGACTGTGCAGCGATTGATCGGCTGCAGTTTATGGACTCATGCAGCCAATTCAAATGCAATTGCAATGCAGCTTGCGAGTCGGTCCAGGGTCTTGTGGTCTCCGGTCTCTGGTCTCGGATCTGGCATCTCAAGACTCGGCTTTCGGGTCTCTGGTCTTAGCCAGCGAGACCACGAACTCCATGCCACACACGCCCCCTCAAGAGCCGCGCTTAGCTGATCTTAGCTTGCACCGGAAAAAACCAGAGAAAAACAAAAGCTACTGTAATATTTTAAATGATAGGAAACTCTCATGACTTTGGAGAGTCTTTAGCGGAAACCTCTCGGTTTTCAAGAAGACAAACATTCCTTGATTAAAAAAGGAACTCATTTCAATTACCCGATCAAAAGCATTTGTTAATAGAACAAGAATACAAGAATACATTTTCAAAATGTAAGTATAACTTCCCAATGTCTTTTGCTTTTCCCTCCGTGTAGCTGTGCTAGCGACACACACAGCGTTTTGGAAATTGTAAAATTATTTTCATTGCAAGTTCGGCCAAGGCCTGGACATGGTCCATTGGCCGACTGGAGTCAGGCTTGTAAGTAAGCGACATAAACGAGTGTTGTATTAATGTTCATAATGTGGTATCTCGACGTCAATAAACGTCGCCACGGCGAGCAGGGGAAATGGCTGGAATATGGCCAGAGCTGAGCCGGCTCAGATCGGCGGAAAAACAATTGCGACGTGGAGTTGGACAGCTGGCTGACACGATCGAAGGAGGAGGAGGAGTGGAGATACTAAGTCAAAATTTCACTTTTCCCTCACCGAACTTAAGCCTGGACTTAATTGCTAACTTAACCTGGGCTACGAAGACAAAGAAAAGCGCTGTTCACTCTATTTGCATACAAAAGTTCCATGATTTATTTCGCGTGGAGGCTAATTGTCGAAAAATAAGTATATATATATAAGGTGGCTTAAAATATGTAAATTATTCGCTTATGAGCTGGTGTGATTTATTTATATTTGTGTGTGCATTTTGTGTGTGTGCTGTGTGTTAGACGTGCATGTGTTTCAGTGTGAGTGTGTTTGTAATCCCAAAGTCCAGAGTTTTGTTGCCACGTGCGGATGAGATTAAAATTTGTTTGTTTTTGTGTGAATAGCTTTTGTTAAAAAATGAAATAAAAATGCGAAAAAGATTAGTTATAAATAAATGGATGTGTGGAAAACAGAAAACAGTAAATTTTGCTGAAATTATGCGTGTTAAAATGACAGAAAAACATCAACCAAATTTAGCGTTTTCCAAAGAGCTGAAATAAAAATATATATTAAAATTTCCTTTACCTTGGGTTATTGTTTTTGCCCTCAAATCTCAATCAGAACGAGTTCATCATTTTAAGAATATCAGGCAAATTTGTAAATAGTTGATGGTTTAAATACAAATTTCTTGTGAAGTTTTTAATTATTATGATTTTAAAATTGTACAAGAGTTTTAAGTTATTGTATCAAACAGATGCAAATATTTTTAGCATGGAATAGAATTCACAGAAAACGATTAAATAATTTTAATTTCTGGAAATCTCTACGAAATTAAAACTAGTTAATCAATGATTTACTTTTTCGTTGAGAAAAAATTGTCTTTAATATTATATTGTAAGCAATTTATGAACAAAAAGTTCTGAATAAATGATAAATTAGTTTTAGTCTCATTCAAAATAACAGAGACTAAAACCAAATCACCATTACTATTAATTTAGTTGATATATATTTCATTGAAAATTTGTATTTTAAATATTTAACTCTTCAATATTTATGTATAAAATCAACTCAAGATTGAAGGTACAAAATAATTATAAGAAATCTGAAAAACCTGGAAAATAATATTCTATGGAAATGGAAACTTTCAAAAATAAATCAAATTTAAACCAAAATGTAGTTTGTTTAAACCAAAAACTAGTAGGATCTCATTTGGTAATATAAGGCAAAAAATAAAGTGCATTTAACCTTAAAGTTCAAGGCTACAAAGCAATGTTAGTAAGTTGGTTAATCAAAAATAACACATAAATATAATATAAGATTTAAATAATAATCAGTGTTAGAAAACCAAAAATAAAGCGAATAATATGTTATACTAGAACTAGTCAACAAGCGATTAAGCATTAGTAATAGATAACGAGTAAAAACACAGGCCAGTATTAGATTTTTGTTTAACAGCAACAGCTTTATATATATATTCTTAAAGTTCTCTTCTCTCCTCCACTATCGATTCTTGGTATTCGGTTTTTTGGCAAAGTTCTCTAGACGAATCTAAGCAGTTACCTCTAGACTAAACTAGACTTAGCGTAAGGCAATAAATAGGTAGATACTAGCAATAGGCACTAAATTAATATACAAGGGCTGACCTCGCGCTATACAGATACAGATACAAAAACACATACAGATACGGATACATATACAGATAAGTACAAGGGGGGGCCGATTCTGTGAGATCCTACAACTGCCATCTACTGCCGGCCAGGCTATAAGGCGAATACCTGTAGCTGGGGCTGCCGAAGGACGCACTCCCGCCGCCCGCCGAGTGGGCCAGGGCGTGGGCGTGACCCACTCCCACCCCAAAGGGCGTGCTGTGGTGGAACATATCGAAGGCCGAGCCGAAGGCGGCGCGCGGCGGAGTCTGATAGTGGAACATAGCTGCCGCCGCTGCCGCAGCCGAAGGCGTCTGATAGGCTCCACCCGCCAGCGAGGAGGTCGAGGAGGCGGTCGACACGGATGTCACTGGGACAGAGGAGGGGGAGCAGCAGGAGCGGGTGCTTGAGCGGATGCCAGCGAAGTACTCAGCGGCGAGGCGGTTAGGTTGCGGGAGGACGAACCGCTTTGCGATTGAGTAGGAAGCGAGGCGCCCAGCCCGCTGCTGTTGTTGTGCCCAGAGGAGGTCTCTCCGCCGCCGCCGCCGCTGCTTGGGGGCGTGGCTTGTGCCTGGGCATACAGGCTGGCCAGAAGATCCACCTCGGAGCTAGAGCCAGAGCCGGAGCCGGTTCCGTTGCCATTAAGACCAGCGGGCTTGAAGGCGCTACCAGCGGAGGGCACCAAGGTAGCAGGAGCAGCCGCCGCAGAGGCAGAGGCAGAAGCCTGAACCTGCTGCAGTTGCTCCGCCTGCTGCACTGCAGCCTCAACGCCGGCCACGCTCTTCATAAACGCCGCCAGATGGATCGGTGCCTGCTGTGAAGCCTGCGACTCCAGCTCGAGGCGATTGAGCTCATCCAGGTGCTCTCGAACCACGGCCAGAATGTCATCATTGGTCGCCGGGGAGCTGCCCTTGCCGAGCAGTGCTGAAACCTTGGTGAGCAGCGCTGGCACATCCTTGTAAAGGATGTCCAGCAACTTACCGGTGGTGAAGAGCACGATCGCCTTGAGGCAGGAGTACTCCGCGGAGTCGACATGCAGCGCCTTCAGTTTCTCCACCTGCTCCTGGAAGATGCGGATGTGATCCATGAAGGCCACCACACGGTCGGCGGCCATCGGGGAGGCATGTAGGCCGGCGGCCGCCAGTAGCGGCGCCACATGGAGCGGCATGCTGCATTGGCTGGCGTTCAGGACGAACAGCTCCGACCACACGAGGCGGAGGAGGGCCACCTGGTCGGTCACCTGCAGTTCCGGGAAGAAGGGGATGTTCTTGGCCCACTCGACCGCCGAGAAGAGGAGCCGCGCGGCCAGCTCGCAGATGTTGTCGATGCCCATGATGTTGTTGGGCTGCATGCACTGGCCGTAGCGGGACGTGGGATATGGCTCCGCCCGGAGCAGCAGCGAGATGTAGGAACTAAGGTACGAGTGCCCGTTGAAGCCAGCGATGCCCATGGGGTCACCGTTGGCGATCTGGTACTGGCCGTGCATGCCGGCCAGACCGGGTTGTGTTGGCGGAACGCGTCCACGTTGGACAGCTGAAAGTAAAAGAAGGATGGAACAAAATTAGTTTTGATTTTACCAAATACCTTTAATATTTAATTCCTAAACTATAACTCTAAATAATATAAACCACTTTTGAGGCTCTCTAAAATCAAATCCTTGGGAAGGAGTACCCGGCTTTTGTTGCTCTTATTTTGACCGCCACATCACACGCGGCACAATGCGAGGCATTCAGCTCTGTTGGCAAAGCTGCCACGGCACACAATGCCCTGTCCAATCTGGATATCTGAATGTCTGGATATCTGCGATCTCTGACGCATCTCCCGGGAGGGAGAACTGCGTTGTTGCCGTTGCCGAGCGTCCTTTGTCGTAAGTCCGAGACATCGTCATAAGATACTTTCTGCCACCCCAAGGGCTACGGAAGGGGCATTTCAACCCCTTTTGTGCGTGTTGTCGCAACTGCTTAGATATGCAAATTGAACTAAATACTTTCAGCGCATCTCGCGGATACACACACATACACATGACGTGCATCTTTCGGATACCTCAGCTGCGGACTCTTGGCAGATTTCAATATGGCAAGGCAGAGCAGAAGGAAATATTGGACAGGTCTTTGCTGTACATATAAACATTATAATTAACAATGTAAATGCTTAACAACGGAGCTAACTGAAAGCTAAGCAGCTAAATGGAAAGTGAAAGGCCTTTTGAACTCTCGGGCCCGGAAACGGCATTTCCCCAGACATCGAGACACTGACATGGACGTGGATCGGACAGGGACATGGCTGTGGATATGGATATCGAATATCTGCTGGAAGTTAAGCGCAGCTTGAACACGCTCTCAAGTGTTGGCAGCTAATGACATGTGAGCTTGGGGAACTTGAGCACGTGCTGGCGGAGATTCATTCATTAAGCAATCAGCCAAGAGGGCAACTTGGGCCAAGGGCCTGCCCACTCCCCACTCCCACTTCCATTCCCATTCGAAAAACCCAAGCCCTTGGCTGCTGTAATCTTCGCCAGATCTCGAGGTAAAACCACAAGCTTAGGCAGACTCTCCTTTTTGTTTTTTTCGGTGGCTTCTTTCGCTGTTCTTGCGGTCAGACAGTTTTTTCCCAGGCGCATAAATAAAAGGAGCTGGACACTGGCCGGCAGACCGGTTTGCATCATAGATCACCAAGTGCAGGCTACTCCTCAACCCCCTGCACTATTACGCAAATGTATTGTGTAAATAAGTGTCCCCGTCCCGCTTTCTCCTCCGGCTGGACACTGGTCAACTGGTTGCAACCCCCGGCTTAATTGCTCCGTCAGGGCAATAAACAAACACCTTCGGAGATGGGACAGAAAAGGGATTTCCGGATATGTCCATTGTGCGGACTGACCAAAAGCACCATCGCCTTGGCTTTCTTTCTAAAAGACGTTACGTTTTAGAGTTCCAGCTTGATTCAGGTAGAGATCTGCCAGGTAGAGTCCGAGTCCCGTACCAGTCCTAGTCCCAATCCCAGTACCAGTTCCAGTTCCCGGTCCACTCCAGCTGCAGCACAATGAGAGTTGTGATCAATAATAACTAACGTCTGTGCAGTTTAGCTATTGCCTTTGCTTTGTTTCACTCGCGGATTCGAGTTATTGGCCTGGCCCAGGGCTCCGATTGCGTTGGCCAGATTGCGCCAGAGCTCTAGGTGTGCCTAGGATGTGTGCCGCCCGGTTCCAAGGTGTGGAGGTGTGGAGGTGTAAAAACCTTTGTTGACCCACTTTTCTAGCTTGAAAGTCTCTCCAACTAAACCATTGTCTGTCTCCGCCTCGAAATGCGTTCGAACCAAGCCCCGAAACTGGACGAATGCAGGTGTTGGTTGCAACCAGTGGAAGTCGGAATTCCGTCGGTCAGGGTTCACGAACAGGAGGTCAACCCCTTCGAATGGCCAGTTCCCAAGTAATTCCCGGTGAAAATCCCTTTAAAATAATTACAATAAATTCAAAATAATTTAACGAAATTTCACTACCCCTAAAAACTTGTTTTTTCTAGCGTCCAAGCTGACCAGTTTCCTGGGCTGCCCAACCCCACTTCCCTTGACCAATTGACACTGCAATTTAATTAGAGCGACCCGGAACACTGATTTGATGTTGTTTTTTCAGGTTTTTCGAGGCTTTTTGTACGCCAAACCCGTACAATTCCCTGACCCAGGGTCGCTCCAGGCACCACCTTTGTCCCGCTTTTCAGCTAAGTACCGTGCCCTCTGCCTTTGCCCAGTAGAAAAAGAGGGTAAAATCCAAGGAAACCTCCTATGCAGAATCGAGATTTTCTCACGATTTCTCAGCTTTGATAGCGAGGGACTAGTTTTACGCAGAACTTGTCATTAAAGAAATGTGACTCAACTGGCGAGCAGCTCCAGAATGTAGCAAAAGGTGTTGAACTCTTTTGCGTTTACGAGTTCTGGGGCAAGTTCGAGTGCCGCCGCCGGGTGGGGAAATAGTGGACATAATGGGCCCAACAGGTAGATCCGACCTGGGCACTGACTGTGTCATTAGCCGAAAACTTGCCTAGGTAAATTTGAAATGCTCTTTTCACAATCCGTCGCCGGCGACTAAATAAATGTTTATATTCATTTAATTACAAGTGCATTGAGAGGAGGCTGCTGTAGCTGCATTTTAATTGCCCGTAGTCGCCATAAATTAACGTTTTCGTTCTTAACCCAAATCGATGTGTACACCGCTCAGACAGACATCTGTGTAGTCCATAGCTGTTTCCATTGCTGCTGGCTATTAGCATTTTGCGAAAAAACCTGTCAATATTAGTGCAAATAATAACAGCTTAGCGGACGGCTAACTGCGGTCTGTCTCTATCTCTGTGTCCGCGCCTCCCTGACGGACGCTAATTGTTAATGCTGACAAGTGTAACTGGCCATTGTGACTGACTGACTGTCTGTCCAGTCGGATAGGCAGCGAGTCAGTCAGTCAATCAGTCGGGCAGTGGAGTCAATCAGTCAGTCAGTGGCTGCAGGAAAACAAGTCTCACCCAAGTATGCCAAATATTTGGCTTGGCTTTGCTTACAAATTAGTTACACATTGGGCTGCATTCGATTAACTACTGATCTCTCAGCAGCAGCGTTTCTCTCAGTGCAGGCTCGCTTTAATTATGGGTCGAGCGATCGAACCGAACAAGTTTGCATCTGATCCCAAGGGGTCAACCCGTCTAATTGTCTTTTGCCAGAGAGCGGAGCGACTCTCGTGCGTGGAAGTTTTGGGTAGGGAGCACTTGGCCTGATCAGCACCGCTGATCCGCCCTGGTCGGCGGCCACATTCCCTGGCATAGTTCCTGCCACCCAAATAACTCAAATGATCCGCACCGAACTGAACGAACCCGATTCGCAATTGTTTCGCCCGTCGAACACATTCCTAGCATGTGACATTTAGTCATCGCCGCTGCTCTACTTCCGTTCTTCTGCCGTTCGATTTAATTTATTTTGTTTGCATTTGCCATTGCCTCGGGGTTTGACTTTTAATTGACCCACAGGCGGCACACTGCGATGGCCGAGTGTCGTTCTAAATACTAAATATTTTGTTATTCAAACTAGACGGAATGAGTCTTACCTTCGCGTCGCATGCCCATCTTGAGGCACTTCTTCAAGCGGCAGTATTGGCATTGATTCCGATGGTGCTGATCGATGGGGCAGTTTCTGCTGCCGCGGCACGAGTATGTGAGATTGCGTCGCACAGAGCGCTTGAAGAACGATTTGCAACCTGCAAAAGAAAAATATAAGAGTAAATTTAATAAAATGTTTAAATTTTCAAAACAAAACAGAACCTTTTCCCCCTTAAGCCATGTTAGCTACAAATTCCTTGGCACCCGTGACTCCCTCGAAAAGAACACAAAGGGGAATCGTTACCACTTGTCCCCCAAAAGTGAGTTCCAGCTGCACTCCTTGACAAGCTGCACAGCACCACAGTTCCTGATGCCCATGTCAATGGTCATGTTACACGTTTCATGGCTTAACGCCTCCCATAAAATTACCTTTAATGGCTTTCAATTAACAAAGTGTATCTTGGCCACGGCGCGATACGACCAGCCAGCCAGCCTGCCTGCCTGCCATCCATCCCCCTCCGAAAATAAAAGGAAAATAAAAGAAAACTGGCAGCAAGTTCAAGTTCGGCTCGAATGCCACGAATTTACTGTTAAGGCAGACGGCCAGATCAGCCACGGCTCGTTGGGCATCGCTTTTGGCCACAAACTGAGCATCAGGCTTTGCTTCAGGTTCAGCATCAGCATCAGCCAGAGCTTTAACTTTAGCAACAGCTAAGTGCTTTGGGCCACAGTTGGGTGTTGTTGTAGGACAAGCCAGCGACACGGCAAGTTAATGTCGCCGACGCGTATCTAAACATGTGTATCACCTGGGCCCATTTTCTGCATAAAGAGAGTCTATCCCCCATCTGGAGTAGAAGGGGGGATACTATACTATAGATACTATATGGGAGGCATTGTCTGGAGGCTTTTTCCTTGGCGGACCGAAAAAAGATTTCTCACAATAACTCAAAACAATGGCATATGCTCATAAAATTCGTTTTAAGCTGTAAAATCATCATCAAACAAAATATGTAAGCACTGAGCGTTTATGCAGACTCGATCCCATCCCGGCCCCATCCATATAGCATGCGATCACAGGCTATAAAAGATCTTCAATGCCTTTTTGCCATTGCGATCGTGTGGCTTTAGCCTCCCACCGAAATGGAAACAAAACGTGGCCAGCAAATTGAAACTGATCGAGAGTCAAAGTCGATGGCTAAATGCGCTGCATTAGAGAAATTGAGATTGGTTTTGAAAGGTATATTGTATTAGGGGAACCCTAAAAGGGATGTTAATTAATACTGACAAGTATAAATATTTATAAACGGATAGTCCTGGCTTATCCTGTTAATCCTGAAGATCAATTTGTATACTATTTGCCCGACTTAAAGGGCATTCAGTATTCCTCACTTTCGGGCCAAAAACGACTGCATGGACCAAACCCCAAAGAGCCAAGCTACGAACACATCTAGGCAGCACACTCACACACTGCCAGCTTTTACACCATATGATCTACGAATAACGATATTGTACCCAGTCACGATTTCTGCCAAAACGTACCGTTGCCTTACCGTTCGCCTCCCCTCCCCCCGCCCCCATCACTCCCGCTGGCTGCGCTTCGCCTGTTGTGGGAGCGGACTGGGGACGGACGGAACTTGGCCCGAACCCAGAGAGGTAAATAAAAGAACTGGCAACAGAGGCAAACTGCCCATATGCGCCTATCGCAACTCTATCTAGAGCTGCAGCACCAAGTATCTGAGTATCTGAGTATCTCGCGGGGCGGAGGCGATCCCCAGTGGACTTTTGCGATGCGAAAGATGCGCGTCGTTATTGATGAAGATACGAGTACATGGCGCAGATACCGTACACCAAAATCCGCGACGGGGTGGAGTGGATATCGTGTTATATCAATAACCGAAAAAGGGTGGATCGATCCAGCTCCAACTCCAACTCCAACTCCAGCTGCAACGAGTGTGGGAAGTGCGGGCAGCGAAGCCCTAGAATCCTGGCCCTAGCTTTCTCTCTCTGTGTGTGTGTGGAGAGCCGCTTCTTTGTACGGCTTCGGCTTAAATGGTTGAGAGCGGTTCTTGTGGCCAAGTTTGCGGTAGTTTCAATTACCGCCTCACCTAATTGGCGGCGGGTGGGTGGGTGGCCGAGGAAGTTGGCTCGCGTGCGCTACGCGCCATAAAGCGTTCAATACAGTTAGAAGGGGTTCCGAGAACTAAGCCCAACTTAGCCGGGGCTAAGCTAAGCGCTTTATTAATTGAACTTCCTGAAAGTGAGCTGAAATTGCTCGTATCTATCTATCTGCGCCGCACGAGATCCCCTTGCCGCTTCGTTGCGCAATTTAAAGCGTTAAATTAGCCGCTGTGCCAGAGTATCTGAATCTTTGGCATACACACACACACACACACACACACACACACAACACACTCTTCGCCGGCAGATGGCCCAATCAATTGCAGCGGCCCAACTATTCGGATTTCCCATTTCCCATTTTCCATCTCTCACAGACGCGGTCAATGATCGCCTGGCCCAGAGGAAGCTCCACGCTCCAGTCTGCCAGCTCCAAGTCAAAGTCAATAGCCACAGACCTCGCCTTGACTCTGGCTCATTTTCTAATTATTAATGCACACAGCGAGCGAGGCAGGCAGGCAGCAGGCAGGGGGTAGAGGGAGGGCCGTCATTAAGGTGCAATAATTAAATGTTAAGCTTACACGGAGTCAGTGTAATTAGCGCGCCAAGACCGCGACTGCAACTGCAACTGCCACTGCCACTGCCACTGCCACAACTCCCGTCCAGAGGCTAGACAAAATATCTGGAGTACAACCGAAACATAATTACAGCCCCCCCGAACAGACACGAAGCCGCAAGTAACCGGGCTCATTCAGCAAAATGCACTGATTATGAACGGGAACAGGTGCCTGCCTGGCTCTCCCCCGCAGAGTTTATGGCCCAATATGGGTCAACTGTAAATCAAATGCCCATCTGGGAATCCGGGAATCCGGAATCGGAGCAGTCTAAGCCCTAGCTGCCTCCTCATTTGCATCTTCCATATGTCACGTTGCAACCAGTATACCGCAGAGATGTTGAGAATGCAAAGGGAATGCCGCCTTAGATAAGCGATTTAGCTCCGATTTAACTGATGCTATGCGAAGTTATGCCGCCGCAGTTAGTCCCTTCCCAACTCCGGTCATGCACTCGGCGCGATAAGCGGGGTTATGGCCAGAGACCATCGTCTCTTGGCCATGTTGCAACGCGCAAGTGCGGCCGCCGAAACGTGCCCCAAAGTAGAAGTAGAAGTAGTTGCAAGCCAGCTCTTTGCTGGGCCTGATCGATTAGCCCAACTTGGTTGAAAACGAAAATTGCGCATGAAGTGGCAACAGCAACAGGGGCAGCTCCGGACCAGAGTTTGCCATGGCAGCGATCTCAGTCGAGGAGAGCTTAACATAATTAATTAAACCGTTACATTATAAAGCGGATCAAGTCGGTAGTTCACGATTTCCTTACTCCAGAGACTCTCTTTTTATTTCGGGGGCCTTTTTCGAAATCGCATCGTGTCAGGATGAATTTTTTGCGCCTCATTTTAAGACGGGGCCCCCAGTAGGAGTCTGGTGACTTGGAACTTGGAACTCAGAGCAGAGATCTGGGAGCTGGAAACTGCAAACTGTAAGCTTGAAGCTCAGTCCAGGTTAGCTGCTTTATTGGCTTGAACATTTCTTCTAAGTACAACGATTTGTAGTACAAGCCAGCTTTTAATGATTACAATGTCTGTCTGTCTGTCTGTCTGGCCGGGATTTGCAGTGGTTGTCTGCTGTTTGTTTTTGTTTCCTCTGTCTCGCGCAATATCTGTACAATTAAGTTTTGTTTTCGCCGATTCTCCTTTTGGCCGCCTTTTAATGAAGGGTTCAGCCGAGGGCTCATTAATGTTGACACAGAGCCAGCGCCGTGTTGGGCAATGCCATCAAAACCCATCCTCTACAGAGGTATGATATTGTGACAGCGAATGGATATACACATATTTCAGGCTGTGCGCCGACATGGAAATTTGTCAAAATAAATATTGAGGCCATAAGTTATGGCGATGGGACCCCGTTTCTTGGGGAGAGAGAGAGCTACCGAGTTGTAAATCAAGAGCCAACTGCACGGAAGTTATAAATGTTTATCAAAAGGCGATTTATTTGATAAATGTTATGGGGCAGCAATTGACTTGGCTGCCTCTGCTGCCGAATGCAAATTTTAATACAAGCCCCGAATTTATTTCGCCTTTTGCTAATTAATAAATAAGAAATCCGTCGGGCCACGCCCCTTACCCCCAGGAAAAAAGCCCCCAAACTGCAAGCTGCAAGCTGCAGCGTCATAAATTGCAATGCTCGGTGGGCGTTGTTAATTTTCTGCATTCGTATTTACTTTGTTGCTCTCGCCGGAATTGGGGGGAGTCGGGGAAGTCCCGGGGTAACTCGTATCACAGACAGCAAATTGATTTATGTTTGGCTTTTGTTAAATGCCCAGAGTGGAATGAATTTCCACAGCGAAACGCGAAATTCGGCCGAGCGCCATTTAACAGATTGTCAAGAGGTGCAAAGTGAAACGCAGAAATGTATCTTGTATTTAATACAAAATAAACCATTTCAAATTTGGCCTCCACAAAGAAAGGCAATAAGAAATTAAGCAAAATATCAATGGTTATTAACCCATAAATTGTATATGTGTTTCTTTTCTTGCTTAGCTAAATATACATTCTTCAGAGGGCAGTTTATATATTGGACTTGTAGTATCTGCTGCAGTTTCCCTCGAAATTCTTATTCATTTCCTTCAACTTATTTATTTGCCCACATGATAATGAAGTTAATTAAAAAGCCACACATGTGGAATACAATTCTGCACAAAAGGAAGAAGACAGAGGAAGCGAGATACAAAGATACAAAGATACAGAGACGACGTTCATCTGCGACATCACAAAAATTCGGACATTTCCAGACCCAAAGTTCCTACTCAAAACTCTGAACGGAGGGATTGGGAGCCTGGGCTTTGGGATTTAGGGTTCTGAGCCCTAATTGCCGAACGTGGGAATCTATTTAAATGAGAACGATGTAAGCTCGTTCGCGGAAAATGTAGCAAAATGGAACGAGGCGAGTTGGGAATTTATATTTGTGGTGTGCTCAACGTTGACAATCCGGAGATGGCGGCTGCACTTCACACACATTATTTGTGGCAGCTAATGGGCTCGGCTGGCGCTTAACAATTAGTTGAGATGGCAATTTTTTACCACTCTTTATGGCCGATGTTTGCTTTAATTAATTACACGCCAGGTACTTAGTACTGGAGGTAATTTTTCGCGAAATTTATTTGTCATTGTCATGTGTGTGCGCAGTAGATAAATTATGCTAATTCCCTTGCCTTAACATGGGCGCTGAGATAGTTTTCTTGTCAGAATTTGAAATTCAATGGGTTCGAAGAACACCAGGTTATGTATTTATATTTAATATTTTCTGCATACAAACATGACGGCGCTGATTGATGATGCAGCCATGGCAGCCGACGAGATACGAGATACGAGGAATCTTGGCTTTTGGGGCCACTAATAGCCATGACAAATAGCCAAATTAATTGGAGATCCAAGTGGGGGTGGCAAAGGGGTCTTGCCACATTAGAGCCATGCACTACTCATCATTAATATTATCGAGACACTTTTATCAGCGCACATTTTTCAGCCGATGAACCGTGACTTTTTCGAGTCGTCTAAAGGTTATATGGTAGTGTTTTTTTCTTAAGACCCACCGATTCCTCCCAATTTCACCGATCTCCGGCACAACAGCTGTGCGCGAAATCAAACAAGTTGCCACCACAATGGGAGGATACTAGGGATCGGGATTGGGATCGGGAACAGGAACAGGAACAGACAACACGCATAAGCTACAATTAATCTTGCAGCTACGATGAGTCTACGACTGGCGGGGTGTCTTGGCATAAATTTCACATATTCGCCCTGGAACCTGGAAACTGGACAGGCGGACCGAAGGGACGTCCAGACAGACGGACAAGTGAGCACAACACACACACAGCGGACAGAACTCGTTCTCTTCTAAGAGCCACGAAAGTATCTGCACTTTGGAGTGAATCAGCTGAAAGGACGCGACCAGGCACATTCTCGGCTCTGGGGTTCAGCGAAATATTCTCCTTTTTTTTCTAAAAGAAGGTACAAAACAACCGAAAGCCTGAAAACGCCTGGCAATGATATGGGCTGTGTGCGCTTTATTATGATTTTTCCTACGTTTTATTTCGCCTGCATTTGAGTGAAGCCCCGGCCGAAGCCTAAACCGAGTCTGAAGCCGAAGCTGAGGCGCTGCCAAGAGATTGCATAGAACAAAATAGATTGCTATCGTGGCAACATCATCAGGCCAACAGGCAGAGCCCAGATACTCGTACTCATACTCATACTCATACTCGAACTCATACCACACTCACACGAGGCGGGGCGGAGGGGCAACACCTTCAGAATGCAACGAGGCGGTCACAGAGCCGCATATCTCCTGATTGTTGCTGTTGTGGGTTGCGCATGCGTACAAAATGCTCGGTGATTAATAATAATAGCAGCGCCTACAAAGCCCCAACAACACCCGCCACAGTGGGAGCCAAGTATCTGACTATCTGGCCAAGTATCTGTATCTGTATCTGTATCTGTGCCTGTGCCTGGACCCACTGTGCCACTCACTTCTTCGCGCGCTCTTCGCTGCTCTAGTGCCAGAACATTTGAAGAGATACGAGCATGACAAGTTCAACTTCAGGCTGCACTAAATGCCAGAGCTCGCTATCTTCCCCGAATGCAGTTGCCCATCTCCAGGCCCCCAGATTCCGGAACTCCTCTCCTTCCTCTCTGCCCTTCCCTCTGAAAAAAGAGAGACAATACAAAGGTGGGCGCTTCATTTAGCAGCCGCACAATTTGCATGTTTGCACAACAATTGTTTGGCTTAGGACAAAGCACGGACCGTATTTTATTTAGATAATAATTTTTATCTGACGATAAGCGATGAGCAGCCAGCAGCGACTGCGACTAAGGCAGTCTCAGTGCGTGCCCGGGTCGCCGGAGGGGGCACATCTCCCCATATATATTTCAAGAGCTCTCGTGCTGCCACTTGGAGTGTAACGGTATGCTGACCGGGAGAAATGAACCAGAAATGCATCTGGGAAAGTGACTTGCTCGGAGATCTAGGAGATCCATCGAAAAATCTAGATAGACCAGACCCTAAACTTTCTAAATGGGTTTCCATTTACATAAGTTTATAAATAATATCCTTTAACTTTTTTTGGATTTTAAAGAAGGAAATTCATTAAGGAAAGTTTAGCCTTAGTTAACAAATAGAAATAAAACTATACAAACTAAAAATATGCTCAAAAACAAGCACTTAGCTTTTCAAATACCATTTTTGTTAGCTCTAATCATTAAAAAACAAAAACGTAAGTGGGCTCTAAAACCGTCTAAGGTCAGAGGTGGTATAGCTATCTTTTGGTTCATAAATGTTGTACTTTTTGCTCGTAAAAGAATCTCTACATGATTTGGATACAAATCACTGGCAGTTGCCAGATCTATGGAGTTCCCAGCTGCATTGCCTGGCTCCCGCCAAGATTTGCATGGGAAGAGTGAGAGAGAGATGAAGACACCCACACCTGGCCATTTCCACAGGTAAGTGCGAACTCATCATTCTGCCATAATTCACCGAACGAAACTGTCAAAAATCAGCGGCTGGCAGGCAGTCAGTCAGCCAGTCAGGCACGCTTTTGTGTCCGCTTTCTATTACGGAATCCGCGAATCTGGCTGGTCATTCCCATTCCCATCCCCCAAAGTCGATATCAATTGACCCCCAGAGATTCCCCCGCCCCCGGGTACTCACCTTCGCAGGTAAACTGGCCGTAGTGCTTGCCGGAGCTCTTGTCGCCGCAGACGACGCACTCGATGTTCTGCTTGCTGTCGATCTGCGATCCACTGTTGCTGCTCTGCGAGTGGGAGCTATTGGCCTGGGAGCTGGGCGTGGAGCTGCCGCAGCCGGTGGGTTGGCCCTTGATGCTGGTGAGCATATCCTGACCGCCGCCTCCACCGCCATGTCCCTTGATCAGCGGCAACATGTCCGAGTTGTGGCCGGTGGGGATGCCCCCGCTGGAGTGGTGACCGCCGGCGGAACCTCCATTGGAGCTGGGCAAGCTGGAGAGATCCTCCTTAATGCCGCCTCCATGATGGTTGCTCTGGTTGAGATTCGCCGACAGATCCTGCTTGATCACCGCCGACTGTTGGCTGGCCACACTGCTCGGCGTGGTCTGTCCCCCACCGGCGGACACACTGCCACCTCCGGTGGTGGTGCCACCGGTGGCCAGGGAGCCACCAGGACCCGCCGATGCAGCGTGCAGGTGATCGCCCAGCGAGGACGAATGCGGCTCATGCCAGGCGCCATGCGGCGGTACGCCCAGACCCATGGACCGCGAGAGTCCAAGGTCGAAGGCGGACAGCTCGGCGCCGGACTGGGGGCGCGGATTGAAGAAGCCGGGAGCCGTGGACGGGGAGGCGCACATGACGCCGCCACCGTACACGCTCAGCGAATTGTGCGTAATAATTTTGGCGGCCGGCTCGGAACACGTGTTATAATCGCTGGAATACACTTTCGCGCTTCACTCGGAGTCCTAGCTGGTCTCGTTAATATATATTTTATTGCGTTTGTACTTTGTAATTATTGAGTAAATAATAAGAATTATTATTATTTCTTTTTAGGTAGAGCACATCTCTTGGCACGCCGCTGTAAGCAATCACTTGGCGTTTTTTTTCGATCAGATTCAGATAACGATTAAGATACAGATTCGATTTCCCGCTCGGCACTCGCGATGTGTGATGGAAAAGACTTAGAAATTTTTTCAGGCACTGCACAAGTACAAGAAGTATCTGATAAATGCGCGCGTCATGCGGAGCAGCGAAATCTCAGCTGGTCTCGTACGGTTTTAGAGCCTGACTGGCAAAACATTCGTGGCAAAAGGTACACGACCCGACCCGACTCGACTCGACCGTTTCGACCTAACGACACATCACACAAATCTCTCTCATTCCACGAACACAGGCGCACCACCACCGCGAGCACTGCTGCTGAGCTGCTTCCACTCACTGTGAGTCAACGGTGGTTGGGCGTTGAGTGGAAGTCGCCGCTCCCGCTCGCACCGGGGCAAGACCTTCGACGCGTTTGGCTGATTTGCCACCACCACCAGCACCACCACCACCACCACTACTATGTAGTACTCCTGCTGCTGCTGCTGCTGCTGCTCCGGCTGACTGCGACGGCACACCACCACCACCACCAGTACCAGTACCAGTACCAGCACCACCACACCACCAAGGGGGCTCTCTCTCTGCTTCGTTGAGTGTATCTCACTCAGAGAGGCCACTCTACTGCACTCCACTCGACTCGACTCACTCGTCTCAACTAGAACCCGTTTTCCTTATTAGATCGCTGCCGGGCGCATCTGCCAGATACTGTTTACCGTTAAGGTTCTTTATCGCAACTTTTCGCTTTTCTTGTTATTTTTATTCCTCTGTTAAGTTTCTGCAACTTTAAACCAAGTCTCCTCCCCGAAATATCTCAGTCTTTGGAAGTTCTTCGCTGGTTGGCTGGCAATCTTAAAGTGCGTTCTAATTTGTATCTCACGGGTATTTCACTGCTTAAAGACCACTTCTTATCAGCTGGCCAAAAGTTTTTGCGGCCATAATGGCCGTTCTTGGCCAAATGTTTGCTTTAAAGCCCCATTTCTATTGGTGGCTTCCCCCTGATAAGCTAAGAACACAAAAGATACAGCAATGATGGATGGCAGGATGTGCTGAAAATGTATCTAAATATCACGTTAGGTGAAGCAAGTCAAGGATGCAGTCTGGAAATTGAGTAATTAAACCAGTTTAGATTGGCTTATTGATTTTTGATGACTTTTCTTGGCCATTAAAAGCAAACTATAAATATTTAATAGATTAAGTTAGTAGTAAAAATTGTGACTTTTTCTGTAGAATTTCTAGCTGACCCCAATATCAAGTAACCTGCTTATTATTTACGCGCAATAGAACCCGGATTACTGCAGTGAAGCCCACTGACTGTCGTAATATAATTACAATATTTCCCAGCTAATTGGATCATTCCCGGGACTTGCACTTCACGTGTCTCGGGGCGAAAGTGCCAAAACATGAAGTCATCATAACCATAATTGAATTCCCTGCCTCACCGAGGACACCTCTCTACGCGTTTTGTCCATTTGCCAGTCGTGTTGTTTCTTTGTTTTAATCGAAATTAGCATTTTCAAGAGGCACCATTTGCACGCAATCGCAGAAATCACTGGATGCCACGCAAAGCTCGCCCAGGCACTTCATTTTTCATCCCACCAGAGCGGGTCGGAGGGAGGTGTGGGTGGTTGGGAATATCGGAAAAGTGTCGCTGGCTGCTGAGTTGCAAAGTTGCAGCCAGGTCCAAAGGGCCAAATTGTGGCCACCGCACTTTGCACTCTCTCCTCCTGCAATTGGGGGGCGGGGTGGCGCCCTCTGGGAAGGCCAGAGCGAAGTGCAAACGTACAATTGGATGATGGACGATACGGATATGCTGACTGGGGGTAGCGATTCCACTCAAAAGTGAGAGCGCGAGTCCAATTGGAATCTCTCTTTCGTTAAGTTTGTTTTCCACTCGATTTGGGCAACGCCTCTGCCCGGTTGCTGTTGCTCTCTCGCTTGCCCAATCTAGCTGTGTCTCTTTCACGAGCATGCCAGCCTTATCATTAACTGTATCGGAATTTTGCTTGCCTTTTTTTCGTATTTGTTTTTTTTCGTATACTTTTTTTTTTGGCCCCCATAAAAGTCGGGAACAAAAAGCGTGTGTGTTTGGCTTTTATTAACACCGCTAGATGTCTCTCTCTGGCAGCCTCCACAGCTGGGGCCTAATTCAATTGCGCGGCGGCGCCTCTTTGGCCTCTCTTTCGCTCTTCCTGCTCCAGATCCCCCATCTTCCTCTGCTCCCAATACATCCTGGCTCCTGTGAACCTAATCTCGGGGGCTCTCGGGGTCTCCTCTTGTTAGTCCTCGTATGTTGGCAGGGAACTCGTAACTCGTCCAGACCCCTCTCTGTGCTCCCCCCTCTGGCGGAGTTCGCGCAGTCGGGCGGCACCTCCAACCCCTGTGGGTTAAATACTGACAACCCCATTTGAGCGCCTTTTTGCACTCGCTGCCACAAAGGGGCCAAAATGGGGAGGCGGCCGGTCGCCCCACTCATTCGCCCTTGTTGGCCATTTCTTTTTTTTCGTCTCTTCCAACGCTTCTGCCTTGGACAGTTCATTGAAAATGGAACAGAAGAGGGGGCGGAAAGGGGTCAGGAAAAGTGGTGACAAAAAGTGGGAGAAACATCTTTAAAAGCTTCATGTTGAACTACGGCTTAGTAGCATCTGATATCATCCATAAACTTACAAACACTATTTATACTATTTCCCATTAAGGTTTACTTAAAATTTCAGAAATTCTCAATAAATTAAAATCTTGAAATCCACGTCTTAAAGATATTATTGATATTCATAAATAAACCAATAATACAGTGGAATATATTGGTTTAATTTATGAATATAAGATCATGATTTAAACATTTTTTGGTTTTATTTTCCAAAATAAAGTATATCTTTTCTAGAACAACTAAAATGTGTGTTTCGCAAGTTGGCTTTTAAACAAAAAACTGTTTTGTAGCCTAGCCAGCACATGCGGATGCACAGACGCACTCGAATGCATCCTGCAGCCGGTTCCAAGGACTCTTATGTTCTCGCCAGCATGTACACTATACACAAGGATATACATTTTCGTTCCGGCATGTATCTGCTCCCATTCCCGGGACAAAGGGAAAGCTTGCAGCCTGCAGTCGGGGGAAAACCCCGTTCTTCTGGCGAAATAGCAAATAGAAAACCAACTGGCATATAATTTACATTGTTGCTTGTTTCCTGCTCCCTCCCTGACACCTCCCAGGAACCACCTCCCACCTCCGCTTTCGGCCAACTTTTACATTGATAAATTTTTAGTAATTCCTCTTCTCTCCGGGCTTTTTTGCCTTTTGTCTTCCGTCGCTGGCAAGGACTTTATGAATAAGTGCTAAAATGCCAGAGACCAGGACCGCAATGGACCGGGCCATGTCATGCTGGTTAAACTGACGAGCACGCGACCGCCCCCTTTGCTCCTTTCCCCCACTCTTGTCCAGAGCCACCTCCTCTTTTTTTCCAGTTGGGTTTTTTGCAGAAAAAGTTCCCTCTGCTGGCTGTTGTTTTTAGCCCGATGATTCATTGTGAAAGTGGAGCTACGTGGTCGTGGCTGGAAAATGCTGAAAATGTATTCCGTTGCCCGGAGTCGCACACACAAATATCAAATGTTGCAGACTACAAAAAATAAAGTAAAGAAAAACAAAAAGAAAAGTTCTCGCTGTTAACAACTTTGTCCACCCAATATGCTTGATGGAGATTCGTCATAGCTTGATGGCTCTGTTTCACTGAAAAATTAACTCACATTTTGTGTTCGTTTTAAGTATTTTTATTTCTTTGGAAATCGAGAACAAGTTTTTTAACAGGCTATAAAAAATACTATGTAAATGTATTACTTTTGCAGGATACTATAATTTAAGTCAGAAGCTTGTAACACTGTGAAGGAATCATTTCCGACCCTATAAATCATATATATTCTTGATCAGCATCGATAGCCGAATCGATCTAGCCATGTCCAGAGGGAATACATAATTTTCGAAAATTTTATCAAAATTTCTAAATTTTATAAGGGGTTACATCGTTTAAATTTGCATAAATTGACAAAAATTTTGATTTTTCTAAATTTCAAAAAGAGTTTGCAGATTTATTAACCTTATAAAAATTAGCATAAAAATGGTTGAATTTAAAGCTTTTTTGGCTGACATGAAATTTTTAAGCTTCGATTTGTCAACTAAAACTGTCTTGTTAAATAATGTATAAATATTATGACAGATTTCCGATACGTTCCAATAATTCGATTGAAAACTGCAAAGGGACTTCCCGAAGTTAGTTTCCCATTCTTTTTATATACTTATAAAGATTATTCTCAACAAGACTGAGATTTCGTCATTTATTGTTTTCTTTTCAAAGTTTGTCATTTTAAATAAAACTTAATGCCAAGAATATGTTAAGAAAGTTTCAGGAACTTTTACTTAATCTTCTAAGTTCAACTCTTAAACTTAAAGCTACTCTATGCATATCCATTTTGCTTTGTCAATAATATATAACAAGCTAACTAAAATCGATTTCAAGTATCTTCCTCTGAACCAATTAAAAATCTCTGCAATTATTGTGTCTTGTGCTTGTCCATTTGGAATTACTGTTTGAGCCGAAGAATCCTTTCCCTGGAATTCCTGTGACATGCGAGCCACAAAGCTAAGGGTTCGTTTGTCGTTTTGGCCACATGGAAAATGGAGAAGGGAGCAGGAAATGGGGCTGGGGCATTGTACATAAGAGCCATGTGTTTGTGCTCCACTCGAAATGTATTTCGAGAGCGCATGTCAAAGGTCAGCAGCCACTGCTCACATGTGTGTATGTAATTACATGCGAGCCTCCCCTTTTAATT